TCTAAGATGGCCTAAATCACACAGACAAAGACTACTCAGGCAGGTACAGACACCTGAAACCCCAGTAGCTACCCACTCAGGCAGGTACATACACCTGAAACCCCAGTAGCTACCCCCAGCACACCAACAAACACACTACAAAGCCCCTGACAAACACTACCTACTAACAGAAAATACAAAGCCAACAAGCAGAAACAAGAACAACAACACTAAGCCCAACAGAAAAGGAACAGAAATAAAACAAACAAAGAAACTACAAGCTACAAACCAGCACTACATCTATTAAGTAGAAGAAATGAACTCTTGCCACTCCAACCAAGCTTGCCTCACTATCACTGCATCTGGTTGCCTCTGCCCCTCAAACAGCCAAAGATTTCGAGTACACCAAAGCCACCAAACGATTTAAGTTGTGAGTTGAATGCGGGCTTCGGATATCTCTGATTTATTTGTTGAGCATACTTGCCACCACCATTGCCTAAAATTGCTAGCTTTCTCTTCTATTCCATCCCATCAGTTTTAAAATTTGGAAAGATTGCCAATTTTTATGAACTCTTTCAATTATCTATATATCTATTTATATATAAAAAGGTTGTTGGAAAAATCATTTTTAGAAAATTAAAATAAATGAGTCAAAACTTTGACTTACCTCTTTTGGAAATCAATTTAAAAATCTGAAAATTTGTACGGTTTTCACACAGTTTGATTTTTTCTTTTTTAATTGTTAATATTGAAGAAAAAACATCCCATATTTTACGCTACAAAAAAATATGTTCAAACGAAAAATCCGCCTATTTTAAACAATCAAAATTATGTTCACACTTCACACGTTTCCAACAACACTAATATAATGCTTACAAAAATTTGGTTTGCACTAAAAAAAATCCAATTCTCTATCAAAACTTTCCAATTCACTTGCAAAATCATTTGATTTGTTAGCTATATTTTATTCTATTAATCAGTGTGTACGGAATAATGCTTACAAAAATATTTTCTAATTAATACTTTTTCACAATTACATAATTTATGTTATCGAATAATTTTTTTAGTTTTAAAAAATATTATTTTTTAAAGTAATTGCATTGCGATTGAATTCCTTTTTAGTTTAAAAAATAAATACAAAGATTAACAATTTTAATTAATTATAAAATTAATTAAATAAAATATGCATATAAATCTACATCAATTAATTATATTGTTTCCTAATAAGTAGGATAGAGATTCGTTTAAATTAATATAGAACACATGTAAAAGAGTTTGATGCTCTTTGGTCACATCTTATTTTATCAAACGATACCTATCTATTTATTAAAATACTACGTATTTTAAATTGATTTTATAAATAAATAATACTAATGTGCATTAAATATTTTTCATTACATAAAATAAAAAGAAAAGAAGACGTACAACTTCTATAAATTTTATAAATAATAATGACATTATATGACAACAAAGTTTATAATAAAATCTATTTATATATATAAAAAAAAGGTTTTTGGTTAAATCCTTTTTATAAATTTTGACCAAAAAATAATACCTTTGACATTCAAATTATAGAAAGCTTGAAAAAAATAAAAAAGCCCCAATTTAATATCACATTTTGAATTCAAAAAATTTTGGTGTAGAGTGATAAAAAGACACGAATTTAATATCACATTTTGAATTAAAAAATTTATGGTGTAGAAAGATTATAGGAATGTGTGTATAACTCACCTAAAAGAGATAACCATGGTCATTATTTTTTAATTAATCTCTTATTTTGATCTAATTTTATGAAAGGTAATCACATGCTCATTATACAATTCCATTCAATTGGGTTTCCTATATAAATTCCATTGGATAAATAACAATTTAAAAAATACAATACAATAACATAAATAACAATTAAAATACTACAATACAAATACATGTTTTAATCAGATCCATACAAACATAAAACTTAAATTCCATTCCACTAAAAAAATACATTATTATACAACTTTAATAAATAAATAAATTAATAATTAATATAGTAATTTGTTACTACTGCAATTCTTTGTACACGAAAAAAACATCTACACTGCTTAACCATCCAACTGATTAGGACTTATCTTCTCATCATATTATTCAAACTCCTATTTTAGTGGCTATCAATTATTATCTAATGAATATCAATTATTATCAAACAACATTTAAAAAACATGTGTTGACTAAAATTAGTTAAATTAAATAAAAAACTTAATTATAGATTAATTATGGGAACCGAAATCTGTTACGAGAGAGAGAGAGATTTAAACTTATTTATATAGAAATTAATTTATTATCTAACTAATTTGTACTTATCTTATCATCCCACTATAGTTTGAATTTATTAAAAC